TCAAAAACAGACGATAGAAAAATATATTAGGGACAGGGAATGGCCTCAGTTGGTAAAATGGTTAGCCTGAAGCATGACGGCCTCAACTGGAGCCCCACAACCCATGTTAAGGCAGGCCTGGTAGTGTGTACTGAGAGGGAGAACCTGGTGAGTCCTGGGACCCACTGGCCAGCCAGTCTAGTCTACTAGGCAGGTCCCAGGGCAATGAGAGACCTCGTCTCAAAAAATAATAATTAAAAAAAGGTGGGTGAAACCTGAGGAATGACACATACACATGCCTCTGCCCTCACACACAAGCACAGAATATCATAGCCATAGGCTGTCTGTTTAATTCAGAGAGAAATAGCTGCAGTTTTTTACCCAGAAGCAACATCTTTAAAGTGCAGTGTCTCACTTTGTCATGTGTTTTGGCTATTCAATCTGCACTAGCTTTTTGTTAGCAATCAATGGGAAATTCTACTTTGTTGCGCAGGTAAAGCAAGCATGGGAGGGTCCCCCATCAGTGAAGTAGGTACTTTCTCAGGACATTGGTAAACACAGGTTGTGTGTGATAGCATCTGAATGATCACCTGTGTCCCAGACAGATCAGCTGTAGGAAGACTCAGCTCTGCCATGGTATCCCCAAAAGGACCCCAAAGTCTCAACCTCAACGTCAAAATGAGGCCAGGTCTGGAGCTCTCCATACGTGAACAAGGCTGACATGGTCTTAAGTGATAACTCCTTTGTTCTTTGCCAAATACAAATGGCCATTCTACAAAGGACATTTGCGGATGTGATGCTTTGGCAGAAAATAGCCCCCAAAGGGAGTGGTGTTACTAGGAGGTGTGGTCTTTTGGAGTAGGCGTGACCTTGTTGGAAGAAGTGGGTCACTGTGTAGGTGGACTTTGAGGTCTCATATGTGCTCAAGATACTGCCCAGTGTCTTAGACCATTTCCTGTTGCCTGCAAGATGTCGGTAGGACTCTCAGCTCCTTCTCCAGCACCACATCTGCCTGCACCCTGCCATGTCCCACCATGATGTGAATGGACTGAACCTCTGAAATGTAAGCGGGCCACCCCATTTAATGGTTTTTCTTTATAAGAATTCCCATGGTCATGGTGTCTTTTCAGCAATAGAAACCCTAACTAAGACAGCAGAGAAGTCAGAAAGAGAGGCTTAGTGAAATACACCTGCGTCACCAGGTGCTTAGTAAAGACACTTACTCAGCAGCCTGCCGGGTCAATGAATGAGGTCAAGAACTAAGTCACACTGAAGGATTCTTGTCAACCAGTGGAACAGAAGTAGGAGAAGAAGGTAGAAAGTTAAGTAGTTCTGACCTGAAGGGTGAGGCACAGGCGTCTCGGAACTGCTTGGAAATACATCTTTCTCCACTCTGCTCTTGCCAAAGCATTAGGTGCCTGCTGGGTTATTCACAGCTACACACCAAGTCCTCGCCTGCACAGAATACGCTCTTCCCACTACAGCAGCACAGAAGCACAGAGGAGCAGATCTCCCTGTGGTCCTGTGCACAGCGGATTTGTCTCCTAGACCTTTGGATGTCACTCTCGCAGCCAGCACACTGCGATATGGCTAATTTCCCGACTGTCGTTTCACAGACTAGAGAGAAGAAATCACAGCAAGACCCCGTGCAAGACTGAAATGATTGTTTCTTGACCACTCTGGGTTGGTCTGTAACACAGGTCGTGGGTTAGGCCCCCTTGTGTGAGTGTGTCTCTTGTAGTCTCCTGAAACACTCAGTTGGAGCTGGGAAGATGGATAAGTGGATAAAGCACCTGCCATGCAAGCAGGAGAACCCAAGTCCAGTTCCCTAACCCACATAAGAAGCAGGGCATGGGTGTGCCAGAACCGGGGAAACACTGACAGGTGGATCACTGGGGCTCATGGTCACTGGGTCTACCCTAATTGACTCAATGAGAGATCCTATTGTTTTTCTGGTTTCTTTTTTCTTCTCTCTCTCTTTCTTTCTGTGGAGGGACCAGAGAGGTGGCTCTTTGGTAAAAAAGCATTGGCTGTTTTTCAGCAGATCTTGGGGCAATTCCCAGCACCCACATGGTGGCTCACAACACTCTGTAAATCCTTCCTGAGGATCTGATATTGTCTTCTGGCTCCTCGGGCACTAGGCATGTATTTGGACAACTGAATGGGACGTTGAAAGGTATGGAACCTCTAATTGATGAGAGATCTCTTATAAGCAGGTGTATGACGCCTTTGCTTGTAAAACCACGTTCCAAAGACTAGGCAGGTGTCCAAAATGATTGGAGATGTGATATTCTGAAATTATGCATACGAGGAAGAAATGTTGACCTCAGGAACCAAACAGGGCTGCTCACAGAAAAAGATGACCTCGCTAGATGACGGTATATTTGTCAGGATTCTCATTGCCCATGGGGTGTAGACCACCTTTTTAGTAGTATAGATGGGGTTTCTGGTGAGAATTCTAGGAGCTTACAGGTTTGTAGCTGTGAAGGGAGAAAAGCCAATGTCCTTAAATGTGTTGAAATTGCTGATTCTCAGCTGGCAAGAGGCGTCAACCAGACTCTAGAGGGAGGGCTTCTCCTGCTTCTCATTTACACGCTACCTCCCCCATGCCATCTCTTTATCCTGCCTCAGTTTGTGAAGGATGAAATTGAGAACTGCTTCTGGAAATAAATGGGCTAGATGTTTCTGGGCATTTCTTCCCACCGCTAGCTGGGCTGTTAGCTTGCTAAAAAGTTAAGGAATTATTCTCTGGAAATGGCTCCTACAAGGCAACTACTATAAGAGTGTAACTCTTATAGTATCACCACCACCACTGCCACCACCACCACCAGCCCATCCCACCTGCCTAGGCAATGGTGCCATCCAATGTGGGCTGGGTCTTCCTGCATCAAATACCAAGACATTTCTCTACAGACATGGCTCTAGACTAACCTGTTCTAGACAGTTCCTCACTAAGATTCTTTCTAGGTGAGTCTAGGCTGTGTCGGGTTGACAGTTAAAACTAACCATTGTATAATTAAGGTCTCCAGTGCTGAAGCATTCCTATCACATGATCACTGCACACACTCTCTGTCTGCTTCCAATGCCACCTAGAATGATTCTTTCAAAGTTTTACAGTTTCTTCTAGATACAGCTTCAATCATTGTGGTGGTTTTGGGGCAAGGGGTCCCAGTACATCCACTTGGACAGACACATGGACAGAGGCATAATGGAATAGATTGGCAGGGATAATTCAGACGTGTGTACTCTGGGAGGATTAGTGTAGTGTGCACATTTTCCATTTGTAGCACAGGATGAGGGTTAGTAGGCTGGAAGAGAATGATTACTCTCTGGATCAGATGGACAAACGGTTAAATGGAAGGACATGCTTGAATTTCAGGTATCTCTCCCACTACTGGCTCCCCTGTACTAACTAAAATGAAGCCAAGCGTCAGTGTGCATGTCTGGGAGGACTTATGAGTGTTATAGCCATGGTCAGCTTTTCTTGTTCGCCACAATTGGCTTTGAGATGGTGAAAACAGACACGATGTGAGCCATCTCCTCTTTCCCCTGGATCAGGGCGTTGACTGGCAGGGTATCCCTTTTCTCTGACATTTGTTGAAGCTATTAATACTTACCCTAGTGCTTCTTCTGTCTGAGTGCTTAAGGAACTCTTTGAGAAAGCAGAAGAGCACCTCGGCAAATAGAATGTGATTGTGTGAGTCCCATGTTTGCGTAGACCCATGGACTAATTATCAATATCTACTCTGAGTTTCTAATTATAACCTTTATCATCCTAAAGCCTGCTGTCAGGAAACTGAGATCCAATGGAGTAAATTTTAAATTTGGATTTCCTACAAAACCTACAAAAAAAGTCTTGCTTTTCTCAACAGTTTACCTCCTTTCTTTTTTGTTGATGTTATAGTTTTGACTTTCTTCTTATTGTGTTCTTCACATCATGGATCTTGATCCCATTCGTTTCCTGTCCCTGCGTATCCACCCTCTGCCCTTGCAGCTCTCCCCCACCCCAGATTCTGCTACACTATCCATGCTGGGCCCTTACTGGAGCTCCCCTTGGCTATCCTGCTGTCGCCCTGTGTTGTAGAGATCTTGCAGCTTCGGGTCTATAGGACCGGTCCCTTCACTTCCTCCAGCAGATCACAAGGCAGGGTGGATATTGGGGTGGGCCAACCCATAACCGTGGCTTGGGCCTGGATAGTGGTCAGCCTGCCAGCTCTCCCTTGTCCTCACCACCAGACTGAGCTCTCCTGCATTGCCTTGGCGAATTTGCTCTTTGCAATGATGAACAAGGGGCGAGGCCGGTTCTGCTTTCATGTCCCCAGGGTTGTGTCATCTCCCACATCGACACCGTCAGGACCAGCTCTACTGAGTGCTGCAGCCGATGAGGGACAGGGCTAGATCTACCACTCTTTGACTTCAGGGCCAGCTTTTATCCTCCGGCATTGATGGGCAGGTGGGGGGATCTCTCTCCCACCCATGCCATCACAGGAGAGGTGAGTAATGGGGACAGCTCTTTCATGCTCACAGTATCAGGACAGGCTCACCCACACCTCTGCCAATGGGGTTGGCTCTACTGTGCTGCCCAGGCAAGGTGCGGGGCCTGCTCTTCCAAGTGTTGCAGCTGGTGACAGGCGAGAGCAGCTCTCAGCCCTTCTGACCTCAGGGCCCACTCTCCCAACTGCCGCAGGCATTGATGGGCAGAGAGGGGACCACCTTATTTCTTTAATGTGGATCTTGGTGAAAAACTTGAAAAGCATCATAAGAAAATGAGGGTTTTTGTAATTCCCCTTAAGGTTGATCTGTAGATGCAGTATCTAGGGTCTTTAGAACATTGAATCTCAAGAAAGAATAAATTACAGCTAGGTTTTTGTCAAAATCCTTCTTGCCTAAAAGCTATATGCTTTTTCAAAGTATGTTTCTTAACTAGGCGTCTGTGTGGTCTCATCATTGTAAATAATACTGCAATGAACATGAAAATGCAAATCTTTTAAAGAAAGGATTTATTTTGAATTGATGACCATATATGCATGTATCTGTGCATGGGTGCACTATGTGGGTGCATGTACCCTCAGAGGGCAGAAGAGGGCATCTGAGCCCCTGGATCTGGAGTTACAGGGGTTTGAGAGCCTCTGGCATAGGAACTGGTGCATAGTCCTCTGCAAGAACAGCATGTACTCTTAACCACGGAGCCATCCCTTCAGCGCCTTAGTTCTTCTGCTCACGTAAGGATTCTGGGTTTCTTACCCACAGACAGGTTTCTGGATCACATGGTAGTTGTAGTGGTTTGAATAAGCCACTCATATATTTGAATGCATGCTCACCAGGAAGTGGAACTGTTTGAAAGGATTAGAAGGTTTAGGAGGTGTGGACTTGTTGGAGGAAATGTGTCACTGGGGGGCGGGCTTTTAAGTTTGAAGAACCCATGCCAAGCCCAGTCTCTTTTTCTGCCTGCAGATCGGGATATAGCTCTTAGCTACTTCTCCAGCATCATGCTTACCTTTCTGCTGCCATGCTCCCTGCCATGATGATAATGGACCAACCCACTGAAACTGTAAGCAAGCCCCTGCCTATATAAGAACCGTAGCTCTCATCTTATAGGGTTTAAGAGATAGTTTATTCTGGAGCCATTATGAGTGACCATGGCTTATTTAGGTTATTGCAAATTCTTTGTTCCAACATGAAAACAGTTTTACAAAGTCTTTTTTTTTATAGTTTTACAAACAAAGAAAACCATAAATTAAGGTAAATTAAAAATCCATTGGTGGGTCCACCAGAGAGGGAGGTGCAATGAGATAGGGGAGCTATTCTAGAGACCACAGAGGCCATCTGATGTAGCCTTAGCTCTTGGATTGGTGGAAGCTAGTGTTCTGCTAAGTTAACAGCAGAGGTTTTTAAAACCTCTAAGAGGTTTTTATTTATTACCTACCACAAGGTGTTAGTTAGTTCAGATACAGAGTGGGACAAAGAAGGGCTGTCTCAGAGGGGCTAAAGCTAAACCCAAGTTAAGCAATTAGTCTCCGAACCTACAAAATTCCCACCTCTCTACGAGCTGAAATCCCAGTCTGTATTTGTTTTACTATCTTTCTATTCTTATCCATCGACGCCCACTAATGAATCCTAATTAACATTCTTGGAGTTGCTAATCAATCAATGTGGTTGTCTCAGCAACTGTGCATAGTGTTTTCTCCTCTTTGACTTTAACATACACATATAATGTTAATTTCAAAAGAAATCAACAAATTAAAAAAATACCATATACCATAGTACAGGAAAAAAAATGTATTTCATTTTGCCCTTGTGAATTTTGGTAACAATCTTGTTCGAGTCACTCCTCTAGGACTTCGTTTTCAAAGCGCTAGATCAGCTACTCGAAATGAAGCACATCATCACTCCAGATGTGGTACCAAGACATCATGAGAGAGAAACTCGTGTCATGGGTAACACATTTGCTTAACTTCAGTAATTACGAGTGAACTGTCGGGAAAGCCAATGCTTTTGGACTGTGACGACATGCCAGGGCAGTTAAATAAGGACCCACAAAACCCTACTTCGCAGACTTAAAGTGACAAAAACCCTTTTATTGTATGTATGCTTTGGGTCGTGAACACTGAGAAGCAAATGCCAGATCTGCTTAGCGGGTGAGGTGAGGCAGTAGAACAGTGTAGTAAGGAGCTCTCCAGTCAGGAAACCTGGAAGGTACTCCTGTAGACACGAACTCCTGGCCGTTTGAAGCAAGCTCACTATTGGCCATAAATGTTTTATGTCAGTGACTGGCAGGCTTAGAAAGAATCTGGCAGCGTCAGATGAAAAGGTTTCTCTCTTGACAATGCTAGTATGGTGTGAACTGCTGAGTGCTAAGTAACCAACCTGTGAGGATGAGGTAAATGCTTGGAAGTGAGTCTACACAGTCGCATAATAACTCCATTATTAGTCTATATTTTGTTGTTTTGTTTTTTTGAGACAGGGTTTCTCTGTGTAGCTCTGGCTGTCTTGGAATTTGCTTTGTAGAACAGGGTAGCCTTGAACTCAGAGATCCACCTGCCTCTGCCTCCCAAGTGCTGGGATTAAAGGTGTGCGCCATCACGCCAGGCTGTATTATTAATCTATTGCATAAATGTCAGTCTGTTGGACTTAACAGCAGTATAGACATAATAATTAGATGAATAATTAGAATCAGTCTCCATATAGTCACTCAGAAGAATTTTTGGCTTAGATATAATCAAAATAAAACAAAATAAAGGAAAATCTTCTTGGGTCATAGCATGGTTCCAAAAAGTAGACAGCAGCTCTGCAAAATAGAAAAACCAGGTTTAAAGATACATAAAAATGTATCTTTAAAGACAAGCGATACCTAGAATTTTTAAAATGGAAGAGGCAACAAGTGCCTCCATCCAATTTGAAATTCCAGGGACTTGCTCAAAGCCCAGCAGTTAACTGGTGTGTAGTCACATTGTTCAACAGGTGACTAAGTGTGGTCTGACCTCATTCCCACATGTTGCTTAGAAATGTCTTCCGGAGCTCTCATCTTCTACAAGAAGATAATTCTTAGATTGCTCAACAACAAAAGATGGAATCTCAGCAGGTTCTCCAACCAATGCAGGACAGCTGGGTCAGTCACAGCAGGTAGATTCTGGTGAAGTGACACTTGTTTCAGAGCCTAGAAAAAACCTCTCACAGTTAAACTTCCCCCTTTTCATGTTTAGTGGAAGCAATTATGTAACATCTAGTCGTATTTGGCTTTCCAGAGTTCTTTGGGTCTTGAGATGGGCTATCATGTAGACTAGACAGGCTTGGAACTCACTCTGTAGCTAAGGATGAAGTTTGGATCTGCCCTGCCTCCACCTCTCAAGTGTGGCATTTTAATTTTAAGGGACAAAAACTTTCTTTGGTTATATCAGGGGAGCCAGCATGAAGCTGATTAAGTAACTGGACTCTGGCGATCTATTGGCTCTTCAGTATTAAACAACACTACATAAGCAGAGAAGGCAGTTGGGGAAGAGTTCGTTGGTATTTGTGGAGTATGTCGCCCAGTGTCAAAGACGAGCATGTCCCCTGGAGAGCATGGGCTATTTCCATGTTACCTGGGACTTGGATAGGCTGCTAGCTTCTCTCCCTTCTTGGAGACAATACTCTTTAGAGATCAACTGTGTCCCTATGAAACATCACCTGCCTGAAGCTACGCATCCATATATCCTAGATTAGAATGTGCGTTCAAGAAACCAGGCTTTTAAAGTCCCACTGCGGAGAGTGCAGAGTCACTTTACAAGGCCGTTTGCTTATACTCTTCTGAGATTTGCCCCTGTATTTTTGGAGTTAGGTGGGAGTTTTCAAGGAGTTCGTAGGTATCTTGCATGTTGGGGAGACTCTGTCTCATGTCCTGGGGAACCTTTTGAATTGGAATACCAGTGCTGTTGTTTGGGCACACTCTCTGACCCTGGTATGCCTGGGCCCGGCGTTTGCAGATGCCAAACTTGCTGAGCAGGATGAACACATCCCTCTGGAAGGCCTTAGTGAAAATGGCATAGAGGAATGGATTGGCGCAGGAGTTGAGGGGGTAGAAGAGAACCAGCAAGATTTTGGAGTTCGTGACGGTGATAAGGGGCTTGTTCATCAGAGCCGACAGGGCGTAGAAGGAGATTGGGGCCATGCACATGAAGTCGGTGAAGATCAACACGGCCATCCTCTTGGCGATCTTGGTGTCTTTATCTCGAGGGTTGTACTGAGGATTCCGGACTGTGATGTAGATCTTCACATAGCAGGAGCAGACGATGACAAAGGCAACGACGTTGAGCAGCAGAACGAGGGCAATGTAGGCTAGAGCAAGAGGCGTGTCCGTGTCCATCGGCAGGCAGATGCTGACCTTGGCATAGCTGCTTATTCCCACCATGGGGAGCAGGGCCAGGAGGAAGCAGGAAACCCAGCCCCCCGCCATGATGGTGTACGCGTGCCGGAGGCGGATCTTCCTGTCCAGGCGCATGGCGAAGGTGATGGCATACCATCGCTCCAGGGTGATGACGGTTAGTGTGTACACCGAGAGTTCGCTGGCAAAAACGGTGAAGAAGCCAGCCGTGTTGCACCCAGGGCCAGTCTGCCAGTCGATGGCGTGGTTGTAGTACTCAGACTGCGTGGACAGGTCCACAGAGGCGATGAGAAGCAGGTATACCCCCATGCAGAAGTCCGCAAAGGCCAAGTTACACATAAGAAAGCGAGGCACGGTCAGTTTGGAGTGGCTGGTCAGGAGAATGAACAGGACAAAGATGTTGCCCAGGAGAGCCAGCAGACTGACAAACCACACCACGATTCTCAGGAACTTGTAACCCATGATGTCTTCACAGGGGTTAAACTCATCCGACTTGGGGGTGCACACCATGTCTTCATTGTCCCCACACACAGTGTAGTCATAGTGGCTGTCGAAGGCTAGCAGAGTCTCTTCCTGAGGATTTTTGAGCTCTTGGCCGAAACCAAGGATCTCATCCTCTTGTTCTTCAAAGAATACGTAGTAATGAGAGTTGCCCGAGCTCTCCTGGAACTTGGGGTTTTGTTTGTACCCAACACCATTGTCACTCAGATCTTCCTCATACTCCTGGTAGAGGGGACCTCTCAGCACATTCACCGATTTTCTCTGGCGCAGATTCCGGATGCTACTCTCGTTACACATCAAGGACTCCAGGATTCTGTAAGGCAACAGATATGAGTCACCTCTTGCTTAAAGTCCACCTTGGAGCCCCTTAAGCCCTGGAAAGATACGCAGGTTACTTCTTCTGATGTTTCGGTGCTACCGATGCTTCATGATCTGGATGGGCCCGCCTCTGCCTCGTCACTTAAAACATTGACTTAGTTTGTTAGGCTGCATGCACAACAGCACGGTGTGGAGTTCAAAGTGCAATGGTAGAATTAAACCTTCCTAGTCAGAAATCACTCCAAGCACTTCAAACATCAACAAAAACACCTTCATAAAAGCATGCATCCAGAATCTGGCTAAGTCTATGGGATCCCCGGCCATGACCAGAAATCGTCTACAGCTCAGAATCTTGAGCTATAACATAGTAACCTTACATAGGCATTCATCTGCAGCGGGCTTTTTAAGCTCTCATTCCAAGCTACATTTTCTGAGCAATTAAGTGGGTTTTCTTTTCTTTTCTTTCCTTTCTTTCTTTCTTTCTTTCTTTCTTTCTTTCTTTCTTTCTTTCTTTCTTTCTTTCTTTTTTTTGAGACTGGGTTTCTCTGTAGCTTTGGAGCCTGTCCTGGAACTAGCTCTTGTAGACCAGGCTGTCCTCAAACTCACAGAGATCTGCCTGCCTCTGCCTCCCGAATGCTAGGATTAAAGGCATGCACCACCACCACCCGGCTCACTAGGTGGGTTTTCTAAAACCAAAACGAAGATGCAGCTCTCTGTTAAACAAACAAGGTTTGCTGTCTGAACAGCTGACAGCCAAGGCCATTTTCTCTTTGCATTCGCTGATGAGAAGAGGGGCTCGCTATGAGCCAGTTCTAAAGAAACACGTCCTGGGGAAATCTGAATTCTAATTCACTGTACTAGTACAGCTCTGCCTCCCTTATTTTATACTTTCTAAGTTTGGTTAGCATGCTGTTTGTCTTAGAGTTGTGTTGGAGGCAATACTTTTTCAGGTAAATTCTACTTCTGTGTAGCTTAGTATTTTCTCAGCAAACATTGGTAAATCCTCTATGATACTTATTATTATTTTTTCTTTTCTTTTCTCCAAAAGGACAACTTGTGGTTGTCGATTCTCTTCTCCCACTATGTGGTTGCTGGGGATGGGAACTCAGGCCTCTTTGAGCTTCTTTCCCATGCTCTGCCATGTCCATTAATATGACCTCACCTCTCCTATTGTGACCAAGGACACTGATCTTATTTCTCACCGTCTTGAGCCACTTGAAGAAAAATCATGATCAAAAATCATGGACATGGGAACCCACTTAGAATACGACTCCTGTGGTTACTGGCTGTGCCACGTTGGGTAGGTCTATGAAACTCGTTCATTTGTGAGCAGAATGAGAGCACTGAACGCACAGAGGAGTAGCTTTTCCGAGCTGTTACAGCAGAACCGGGAGCATGTGTTTGTGATTGCTGTTAAACACTATCCCTGTTCCCAGTTCCAGGACTCCACACTCCCTTTGCCTCGAAGCTCATGGCCACCTTTACTCGTTATCCAATTTTAGACATAGCCGCTTTTTTTCATGGGAGTCTTTCCTGGTCTATTAAATAAACCATTCCACCCTGTTGTTTCACCCCTTTCCAGCCCTGACTGACATTTTCATCTCTGTTTGTTGACTTCCTCCAGTAGATTATAAACTATGGGCAAAAAGCTTCCTCATGCTCCTGCTGTGGCTACGAGAATGCCAGGCACACAGGAGATGCTCACCAGATATTTGCTCACAAATTAATAAATGGCCACAGCACACAGATATACTCATAGAAATAAGATTTACGTTTTCAATTTATTTTTTATTTTTTTGAGATTATAATATAATCGCATCATCTCCCCTTCCTGTTTTCTCCTTCCTAACCCTCCATTTTACCCCTCCTTCCTCTCTTTCAAATTCATGACTTTTTTCATTAATTGTAGTTGTTATTATGTGTGTATATGCCTAAATACATAAATACAACCTCTCCAGCCTGTATAGGGGTATTTGTATGTTTATGGTTTCAGAGCTGACCATTCGCTATTGGAGAGCAAACTGGTGTGCTCTTCCCTGGGAAGACTAGCTCTTGCTCGCAGCATCCCTTAGGTGCCTATTGTTCTTTGTGTAGGGTTGAGGCCTACAGGCCCTCCCTGTACCAACATCAGCATGTCTGTTGCTGTCCTTGTTCAGCCCGTGCTTTGGTAGTTGTGTTGGTGAATCTCCATGGGTGTGGCGTCTGCCATTCCTAGGAGATACAGTCTCACAGCAGACTCTCTGCTCCTCTGTTTCTTATAATCTTTCCATCCTTTCTTCCTCAGTGATCCCTAGGCCTTAGGTGCAGGGGTTATATTGTAGATGGATCTGTTGGAACTGGAAGGATTTGCATTTTTACTACATCGCTAGAGCTAGATCTGCCAGTGAGGTCTCTCTAACCATGCATTCCATCCAGGATCCTTTGCACTCAGTGCCCTGTAGTGTTAGAACAGCACCAGGTAGCAACACCCTGCGCCCCATGCAGCTATTATGGCTGTGACAGTCCCCTTCACCTAGCTCATCAACCTTCCTCTTTGCATCTGCCTCTGTGATTAGGTCCTGATTTTTTTTTCCTGGTTAAAATTATGAGTGTAGAAAGTCATCTAGTAGATCCCTGTGTAGAAACTAAAGGAGATGGAAATAGACAAACGAAGGCCGAGTTAGAACAGGAGGTGGCACAAGACCAAGAGGAAATAGGTCGGAGCCAGAATCAGGGACAACTTGAAGTGTGAAGCGTGAAGGAATATCTCTCCTTGGCACTCTTGCAAGTAGCCAGCTACTGAAAAAATACATGTCATAGCTAGTACATTTTGCTTGTGACATGCCAGATATTCAATCCCAGGTCTTTCCCAGTAAACTGCTTTATCTTCTCAAAACCTCTATGGATGACGACGTGATGATCTCGAACCTTAGAAGCTCAGGGTAGTTGGATGAGTACCCCGAACGCCGAGATGATACAGCTAGAAGCTGATAGGGTTGGGATGCAAGCCAAACCTGCTTCTTGGTTCCTGCACACTGCACAAGGTAGCCGCGCAGTGAACCCTATCTGCACGTCATCATTTCGTATTGTCTTCCCTCCCCCGCCGCAGTCCAACAGTGTTGGCCTTACTTCTCATCTGCACCCACTTTGCTCCCACAGCCATTAGGCCTGGGGCTTTCCGGCTGCTCGTGGGGAAGCTTACAGTTCTTTCCCTCCTCGGTTTTAAATCACATTCGTCTCCAAATCTAAAACGAATCCAACTCCCGTCGTGGCCTCTCCTTGCTCTTTCCAGGCCCCTGCTACTTACCCCCTGATTTTCTTCTGGTTTTTAAAAGCACAGCAGTGGCTTGGGTAAGAGAGGTCAGCCCGTGTGAGGTGGAGGAGACTCAAGGACAGAGGGAGCTTCTTGAGAGTCCAAGTGTCTTTGGCGATCAGTTCCTTCAGGTGCTCCAGGCCTTTGGAGGGAAGGGCGGTGACACTAGTGGAAGACACATCTCTGGGATTCGGGGGACAAAACGACACAGACAGGCAGTGAGCAGCCAGGGCCTTTTAGTCTCTGCCACCCCTCGCCCCCCAAACCGCACAGTCCTGAGACTGATGGGGAGATAACGCGTTCCTTTCCGGATGACACGGACTGTGTAATCTGAGTTCATTACCTGCACCCACTGGTCCAGAGCAGATGTGAGTGTCTAAGTCAAGGTTACAAGAAACTGCTGGTTGTTGGTTTTTTTTTTTAAGTTTTCATGAATCTTTGTTGTGTGTATGCATATTGTGTGTGTGTCAGTACACACATGTCATGGTATGCTTGTGGAAGTCAGAGGGCAGATTTGTGGAGTTAGCTCTCTCCTTTCATCTTTACGTGGGTCCTGGGGATGGAGCTCAGGTCTTCGTGCTTATGATGGCAAGTGCTTTTTACCTAGTGAGCCGTCTTACCAGCCTAGAACTGCTGTTTTTTATTGCATGGAAGTCTTGTATTTAATCAGCATAACTCCATAAATATTTTATTCTTTTGATAAACTCTTGGAATCAGAGAGGACAAGAACGTTATTTTGTAAAATGACACGGTACAACTATTAAAAGATCTCCAGAAAAAAATCAAATAAGGTCAATGACACCGAACTTCATACCACTTTCTGGGAGTGGGGGCTTATGTCTGGAGACACATAAACTACTTGTTTGTAGGATCAGCATCAATATTATGAAAATACTCTCCATTAAATGCAGAACTGAAGAGGTCAATAGTTACATAGTGAGTCATGGCTAAGAGAACTCTCCCCAAAACAATTTTTTTTTTTAGAAAACTGTAAATATATTCCTATTTTTAAAAAGCCAACTATTTTATTAACTCTAACATTACTTCTGAAAACTGTGGGAGGGAGATGTGGTGGGGCTAGGGGTTGTTAATATTAATGCTAGTTATTAAAGTAGAATGGTTTTTTTTTTACTTTTAAGTAACAATTCTCTCTTCTCTAGTCCCAAAGGATATAGACTATATATCTTGTTGATGTCTATACAGAGTATATAGTATGTAGTCTAGACTATATGTCTTGATGTATATACAGATATATATATGATGCTTATACAGAGTAGAGACTGTATGTCTTATTTATGAATATGCATATATATATACACATACAAATGATATCTATACATAGTAAAGACTATATGTCTTGTTGATGTATATACAGATATATATACAGATGATGTCTATACAGAGTAGAGACTGTATGTCTTGTTGATGTATATACAGATATATATACAGATAATGTCTATACAGAGTAGAGACTTTATGTCTTGTTGATGTACACACACACACACACACATATATATATATATACAGATAATGTCTATACAGAGTAGAGACTGTGTGTCTTGTTGATGTACACACGCACACACACACACACACACACACACACACACACATATATATATACAGATAATGTCTATACAGAGTAGAGACTGTGTGTCTTGTTGATGATTTTTCTTGCATTGAAAAATAGCTTAAATAAAGCAATGAATATTTAACCTGCCTTCTCTCTTCTTTTACTTTCATCAATTAAAATAGTCACCATGCATTCCCTATCCAAGGCTTTTATATTTATTTTTAGAATATTGATTATAATATGGGTGTGGTGGTTTATGCCTTTAATTATAGTACAAGGGAGGCAGAAGCAGGTAGATCTCTAAGAGTTCTAGGCCAGCCTGGTTTGCATAGCAGGTTTTAGGATAGCGAAGACTACATAGTGAGACCTTGTCTCAAAAAGAAAAGGCAAAACTATATTTTGAAAAAATAATATAAACATGGCATGGTGGCATATGTAACATCAGCACTTGGAATTTGGAGGCAGGTGGGTCATCCTTGGCTACACAATGAATACAAACTAGCCTGGACTACAAGAAACCCTGCCCATATACCTATGTGGTAACCAATAGCTCTCCAATAGAACTTAAGTCTGACTTAACAAGAGGGAAACCATACTCATTACTGGAAACCTAGCCAACTAACAGGGCTAGTGCAGTCATGGACCTTGGAGGAGAACCTACAACGTCACTTTACTAAACCAGCTTATCCATAACTACATTCTAAATATTCGTCTTACACTCACAGATAAGTCTAGTCCTTATTCCTCACTAGGGAATCCTCTCTTTGCGACAGATGGAAACCAGCACAGAAGACCACAACCAGTCACAGGACAGAGTTGTGAAGCCCAGTCTCAAAATATACATCTATAAAACAATGCCTAAACCCAAGGCTTAGGGATCACTGCAGAAGAGGGAGCAGAGAGATTGCGAGTGAGAGGAGCAGGAAGTCCACCCATGAAGTCTCACCATCGTGCCTTCCTAAATGAGAGGTCAACAAGGACACCAACAATAGACACGCTGATGTTGGTACAGGGAAGGCCCATAGGCCCCAGCAAAAACTACAGAACTACAGGCAACTAGGGAAAGCTGAGAGTGGAAGACGTCATCTTCCCCAGGAAAACACACACCAACTAGGTATCTAATAGCAAACAGCCAGCCCTAAAAACATACATATGAGTGACAGTTTAGAGATGGAGCAAGTTACAGTTAATTGTGTTTACAAATGCAGAGGTATATACATGTGCATATATGCGTGTAACAATACTGAACGAAAAATAGAGCTCGCGAGTTTGAAAGAGCAAGAAAGGGCATATGTGAGGGTCTGCAGGGAGGAAAGGAAAGGGGAAATGATGTAATTATATTATAATCTCAAAAAAATTACAGAAAAACAAGAAGAAAAAACAATTAGTAGTGTCTGCTTAGCAAATAAAATCTAATGTCAGCTCTTCCATTACAATTGGATTTAGCTGGGATTTTATCATCAAGGTTTCAGACTGCCAGAACTTGATACTGTTCTCTTCTTAAAATTTATTTTATTAACATTATTATTTTATGTATTATCTTCATTGGTATGAGAGTCATATGTTCTGAAACTGGAGTTACAGACGGTTGTGAGCTACCATGTGGGTGTTGGGAATTGAACTCAGGACCTCTGGAAGAGCAGCCAGTGCTCTTAACTGCTGAGCCATCTCTCCAGCCCCTGTTCTTCTTCTTCCTCTTTTTTAAACAAATATAAAGCTTATATATATTATCCTTGCGATTCTTGTGGGAGAAGGTGTCATATTAGTTATTTTGGCTTGTTTTCTATTTAAAATTCTACGGTTCTGTGTTTTCCAACCTTGCCTGTTAGCGAGAATGAACTCTGGCACTTGTCCCTGAATGCTCTCCAGGTGATTAACACCAGCACAAGATGTTTGGGAAACTGGCATAAATAATCCTGCAGCTGGGGAAGGAGCAGAGGGAGGAGAACGCGCCTTTAGAACAGCTGTGAAGTGTGGTCTCTCCTATCCTTTGGATGCCCCTCACTCCCTACTTCCCCCACCCTCCATCCCCCCCACCCCCGCCATGCTATCTTCAAGGTCAGGCCATCTTTCAGTTCTAGTTTGTCTTGGAGCAAGTTAGGATCTCTACCCTGTGGTTCATCCGTCTGTCCGTCATGTTAAAGGAGGATAGCATCTTTTAGTTCCTTTGCCCTGCCTTGCTCTCTTCCTGGCAAGTGTGACTGGCACAGCATGTGAATGTGGCCCCACACAAACATTGTAAATGGGCTGAAACTATTATGAGATGTGTGCTTTTTTTTGTTTTGTATTTATGACTTGGTTTGGCATTGTGGGTGGTGCCATCGCCGGCCTGGTGCTGCTGGGTTCTGTAAGAAAGCAGGTTGAGCAAGGCATGAGGAGGAGCAAGCCAGTAAGCAGCAGCCCTCCACGGCCTCTGCTTAAGCTTCTGCCTTCAGTTTCCTTCCTTGTTTGACTTCCTGTCCTGACGCTCTTCTATGATGAACAGTAATATGGGAGCATAAGTCAAAGAAATCCTCCCTCCCCCCAGCTTGCTTTTGGTCATGATATTTCATCATAGCATATGGTAACTCTAACAGCAGACATGGACAGAGTTGGTGTTGGGGCATGAGTAACCTCTGCGGCATGATGTGCGTTTGGAATTTACGGGAACTCAATGAATCTTCATTCTCCTTTTCAACTTTGAGCTCAAAGCAAAGGATGCGGTCAACACAGCTCGAGCCTGGAGCTGAAGTCGTCTGTGTGGCCGCTCATTTGATGCCTTCCCCTGCATGCCTCGCAGACATCTCCAGTTAAACAGAGCTAAACTGAGGGGTGGCAGTAATTTGGGGTTAGCTACTGCGACCCCTCCTCTTTATTCTCCATTTTCCCTGCCAGAGTACCCAGTACTCCTATAGCTCAGTTGCTCAAACTTGGAGTAACCCCAGTAGGCCGAGCTTCAAGATTTAACATAGCCAAGAGCTGTGGGCTAAACTTCAAAAGTTCTCGGATCCAGGTATGTCCAGCAATTTGTACCTTTGGCGTCTACATCTTGCATTGAACCAACTTGATGTCAAAAACTTTAGAAAAAAAAGAAAGCTGCATCTGCACTGAATATATATAGAGTTTTTCTCATCGTTACTCCCCCAATAAACTATGGTGCTAGAGCATAGCGTTTACTTTGCATAAGGTCGCATAAGCAATTTAGAGATTGTTTAAAATATAAAGGAGGACATATGTGGGCTAAATGCAACTACAGTGCCACTTTATATGAGGGATTTGATCAGTCTGAATTTTGATATTCTTATTGGATCCTATAATCAACTCCTCTCAGATATCAGCCCTCTCAGTCCAGCTGCAGTCACTTTCATATTTGCTCTTTTTTCCTTCTGATATGTTTGCAGACACCACCAAGAACGGTCTTGAGAATCAAGTAATGTCACTCTCCCACCTAACTTCCCAGTGGTTCCCCAGTGTCCTATCCATGCTCTATGTCAAGGCCTCGCAGCTCTGGTCCTTGATGACCTCTCCAACTTTGGTCTCAGAAGTGGAAGGCTCCTTGATGCAGCTCTGAGCATCTGTTGTCCATGCTGTGCTTCAGGTGTCCTGGCGGGGCTCTCCTGAAGCAGGTTGTTTC